CTCCCGATAAGCGTTCTGGTCGGCACCACGTCCGACATTGCTAGAGGAAGCCATGAATGCTGAGTTCTTAGAGAAAGTTGCAGAGATTGGAGGAAGGCTTTTTGAAGCGTTCCCATAGACGACGCCAAATGATGCAGCACGATCCAAGCACTCCTAACTGGCGACGGACGGTACCTAAGAAGAGAAAGGTGAAGGGTTCCCGGGGGACTTGCCCGGTGGGAATACTCAGATGCTTAAGTTAGAACACTTGGGAGAGCTGTAAATGATGCAAAGAGAGCTAAGAGTGCAAATAGCGCTACATCAGTTAAATTCAAGATACATTCGCCCCTTCGACACAGGGGCCTTTAAATACAGATGTTCTTGTCAAATCAAGCATAACCACCACTGGACCTTTGTCGCAGCCGTTATTTGCCAGGGTTGCGCAGGTAACCGTTGCAGAGTACTGCCCAATCAGATGAGAGACACGACCTAGAAAGGACAGACACGCCACCTTCTGTCGAGAGACGTGGGTGCAGTCTGTTGGGCTGGCAGGGACTGCGCCGTCAGTCAGGAGATGTGGTGCTGTCTGACGGGTACGGTCTCGTCATATAAGAAGCTTCCTGAAAATGCCACATCGCTCAATTGCGAGCTGCTTTGTAACGAGTTATCCCATAGCTAGGTGCCTTGTAGTGAGCTCCTGGAGGTATCCCGAGGTAGTTCTGTCTGAGGTTGCCTCCGGGGCAGTCCTCTTGCCTAAGTATTGGAGCGAGCTGATTCTCTCAACCCGCGAGCTGGGATAGAATTCACTTGGAGTACTCCCTTTCAGCATACTGGGGTCCTTGAGCTCGCGCTGTAGTGAGCTCGTTCCGTGGCGAGCTGTAATGTAGCGAGTTGATCTGCAAGGACTTTAACGAGCTCGTTACTCAGTTGTAGTCAAGCTGTCATGCTGAGTTGTTGCTTATGTTGAGTTACGTCCACGTGTCGCCTTCTTAGGAGGTCGGGTCAATTCACCCTCCATCAATAGTAACTAAAACAAATTATGGCCGATGGTTTGTTCGTTTCCTAATTCGTAGAGACCACAAAGAGTTATTCATTTGTATGGACCATTACATTTGATTCTATGTAAAATCACTTATGGTTAATATCAATTGCTCTAATTCATTGTTTGGGTTGACCATGACATTGTTATTGTTCTACATTTTGTTATAGTTTTCATGCAATTTCCTTCAATTTTTTGTATTTTTGTTTTTTTTAATTTTACTGTGTTGGATTACACTTTTTTTTTTTGCATTTTTTGTAGCCTTTTGTTCTCATTGCATTCACTATAAGAAAATACATACAACAGGAGTAGTATGCATTCACTACAAGAAAATACATTTTGTTATAGTTTTCATGCGTTCACTACAAGAAAAAATATTTCTAGCGATAGCTTTCGACTTTGCTATTTGGCGACTGCCGCTACAAATATTGATCTTTAAGGGGTAGCCGGTTAAAACTGCTGCTAGTTATAAGGCACGAGTATTATTTTAATTTTTTATCCATTGCGCCTCTTTCTACCCTTTTTTCTCGGTCATCCCTCTCAATCGTCCCTCTCTCACACTCTCTCCTCTCCCTCACTCATTCAATTGTATCTCTTTCGCTCACTCGCACTCTCTATTCTCTCACACATTGTCACACCTCAACTAATCCCTCTCTCTCTCGTGTGCGATCTCTCTCAGGCACATCCATAGTAAATCTCTCTCTGTGTCTATGTACATAAAAAATCTGGAAACTTGTTGTTGGAGCTAGTAAAGTTGGTATATATTCAACTTAAACTGTTAATTAGGAATATCTCTCATTGTACATTGTACACAGTTGTCTTCTACTATCACGAAGCTACCTTCCCTTGAATATCTTCACATTTGGAAATGGATGAGGTGAAATGTATGGGTTTTGAGTTTTACGGAATTGAAGATGGTGGTGGTGTTGATCGAGTGGGTGAGAGTGGGAGTTGGGGACTTTTCCCCAACTTGAAACTGCTAGCGATTTCTAACATGAACAATTTAGAGTCATTGGATTCGAGGTTAGCTATGGAGATTATGCCACATCTCACAACATTACTTATTGATGGTTGCCCCAAACTGAAGCTCAATGATTTGTTGGGGCCATAATGATATAAAGAAATCTTGAGATTTTGATTCTGTAGATCACTAAAACAAATCGAATAGATCGGTGTAGATGGAACAATCTTTTGCAAAGTCAATTATATACATCCACTAGTTGAAGTAAAGATTCCCTCCGTGAAATGATCATATTTCCATTTTTGGAAAATGAACACAAAGCAACAAATGTCTCTTTGCATGAAAAATCTACTATCTTCATACGACTACTCAATCGGATTTTTTGAGTTAATAAAACTTATGGCTAAGGCTTCACGTTTACTTTCTTCGTTGTAGGAACTAAATGAACCAGGTCATCTACGCATCACTCAAAGTTTCTTTGAAGGTTTAATAAGCATCATTATGGGTGTCAGCCTTCCGTTTCGTTCTTTATTATTAAGTCTCAAGTGAGAGCACTTTCCATTAGACCTGTTCATGGGCCGGGTGGCCCGACGGGCTGGCCCAACTCGGCCCGACCCCTGAACGGGCTTGAACAGGCTTTTTGGCCCGCATGCTTAACCTCAGGTCAAAAATCCCGGTCCGCATAAAATTCGAGCCGGGCTCGGGCTTTGCCAAAATAGCCCGGCCCGGCCCGACCTATAGTTAAACCTAAGTAAACTCGGCCCGACCTACAGTTAAACCTAAGTAAACTCGGCCCGACCTACAGTTAAACCTAAGTAAATTCGGCCCGACCTACAATTAAACCTAAGTAAAAACCCTATGTGATGTCCATTTGAATAAATTTTTTGATTTGAGAAGGTTGTTGATTCACTTGTAGGCCTATTGTTCATTTAAATAGGGAAAAAAAACATTTGAATTAAAATAAATAATATCTATTTGAATAAGGAAAAAATCGAATTTCTTTTATTAGGTCGGGCTCGGGCTCAAACTTCAGGCTTTTTGTCAGGGCCGGGCTCGGGCCCAAGTTGTAGGCCCGTTGGTCGGGCCGGGCTCGGACTCGGGCCTAACATTTTTCAGTTAATAAAGAGTCAAAGCTCTGCCCGAGCCCGGCCCGACCTGGCCCATGAACAGGTCTACTTTATAAAAATTGGTCTAACAAGTTATAAATGCATAGAACAGTTTAGAAAGTTTCGGGAATTGAATGGGGCTCATCAATGATTGAAACAAGAAAACCTTTTTTTTTTTGTTAATTTGCTCCAATGTCCTGTTGAAGCAAGTATGTAAAACTCCCTTTTTTTATATATGTTTTGTTTCATTTCAAATATTCCTTATGTACGTGAAAGTTCTATCCTGTACCACATCTTACAGTTTAGCATTAGTTGCCCTGTCAACTGTCCTACTGACCTATGAATTGCCAAAGCATGTGATTGACACATAGAGAAGCTCTAAATACGCATGCCTAGTACAATCTTTCTCAAGTAATGCTTGCAGGTTAGGCTGCTTTATGTTTCATTACTCAATTATATTGTTGGTTAGAATTAAAGTTTCAAATAGATGGTTTAGAAAAATAATACAAATCTATTGCACCAATGGCACTAGATCTATCATAAAAAAAGGTTATCAATGGAATTTACAAGTTAAATAGAGGGTGGTTATTTCTACATATTTTAAGAATTTGGAAATAAGTGACCATTGTATCTCAAAAAACTATGCTTCCGGTTTTATATGAATCATCATTCTCTTTTTTAATAGGTAGTGTGTAGTGGAGTGCAGAGATTAACATGTTGTTGTCGTTTTAATTTGTTACTTTGGTTAATAAGGTGGATGATACGCTTGGGGTATTCCACACGCACGCGGTGGTGGGGCTGCTAGGCGAAGTACTGGGGGGCTATTGGCAAAGCTAGTCCCTTGTTGACTCGTCTTACCGTTGAAGAACTCGAGGGGTGCATTTTAGGGTGGGGATGGATGGGTACAGTTATTGAAGCAATCAGGTACAGTCACCGGAGTTGTTAACTCCACCTTCGCATCAAGAGAATCCTAGCCTTCGGGATTGGCTGGAGATTGCAAAATAGAAGACGAGAGATATTGAAGCGAAGAGGAAAACCACTAATCTGAAGGGATGAAAAAAATGGAAACAGAAATTTTAAAGAGCTCTTGAGTGGTTTTTCTGACGTTTTTTTTAAGCAAATACAATAGATATTGTTAACTTTGCCTTGACATTTTCATCAATTTTTTCAATAGGGTATGCAACAAAAATATAGGATTTAAAGAGCTCTTGATTGGTTTCCCAAGTCAGAAGCATCTTTATGAGTGGAAAAAAGACGAAATTTGATCGAAGTTCGCAACTATGTAAGATTCTCGTTTCTCTCTTTCTCTCTCAAAATCTCTGTTTCTCTTTTAAAGCTAGCAACTTATCCACGTATTATGGCGCCAAATCTTTGCTAGATTTGGCGGAGATCGGGGAAGAAAATTAGATTTTCTCAAAAGGACAAAAAACACAGGCAGAAGCTATAATCACCCTAGTTGTCAAATCGTACAACTCCGGTCTACCAATAAGGTTTCGTCGATGGTAGTTTTCTGTTCATCGACAAGAAGACAATAAATAGAGATGGAGATGGAAGAAGGAGAAGAAGAGGAAGAATGAGAAATATAAGAAGAATAGGAGAAAGAGAGTGGGGAGAGGAGAGAGAGATCGGGGAAGGTCCTGGTCGGAGGTGGGGAGGGTCAATGCCAATTTGTTGTCATTGTGCAGAGAAAAATAGAGAGAGGTAAGAGAAAAGAGATCGGTCCGAGGAAGGAGTTGTGAGTTAGAGAAAGGGGACAAAGGAGGGGGATAATATTGGGTTTTAAACGAATTTTAAATGTCACATGGTATTAACGGCAAGCGAGGGTAGAGTTAGCAAATTAGGAGAGAGTAAGGGTGGCGTTAGTCAATTAGTTAATTTGGTAGTTTAAAAAATTTATCTTTTTTTTTTTGTAAAAAGAGTGAAACCAAACACTTGCGAATCGAGGCCAACTTTCTTTTTCGCTACGTTCTCCACTTCTCCGTTGTAGGCTTTGAAGGATCGGCCGGTCGGTTAGTAATTTGGTAAACCTGTAGCGAGCCCGATCCGTTGGACGTCCCCTATTGCTCATTTGCTCCATGCTAAGTTGCGCTTTGATTTAGCGCACATTAGCATGTGAAGGCGTCGATCTGCAAAAATAACGCCGCCTGTAGAACGCTTGATCGATTTTTACTTATTTCTCGCCAAGACTGAACCGCCTTTCTTTTCCTTTTCCATAATTCCATTTCCCTCCATCTTTCTCCCTTTCTCTCTACCCCCTAGTATATAATTTTCTCTGTTCTGGTTTTCGCGCAGATTTTCTTATCGGTTCTCAGCACTCTCCGTTAGCCAGGTCAGGTTTTCGGTTGATTTTCCCTTGTAAAACATGGGTGGTAGAGCTGTGGTGTCCGACGATGAAGGTAGAGATCTTCGGAGTGTTTTCGTCTGTTGCTTTCTTTAAATCTGGTGATTCATTTCATTTGTTTTCCCCGTGTTTTTCTCATTTCTCTCTTTGTTTATTTTTTCAGAGGAGGTCGAAGAGGAGGAGGACGAGAGGGAAGTTGGGGATGTGGAAGCAGTCGATGACGAAGAGAGGGGCGACGTTGACGAAGATGACGAGGAAGAAGACGGTAAGTTGGTTTTGTTTAACATTTCGAAGTTTATCCTTGTTCACTTCACTTGGTTTCAAACGGGATTTTAGGGTTTCTAGGGTTTCTGTCTTGATTAGTAGATTTTTTGTGCATATCTGTTTTACCTTCCGTTTTTTCGTTTGTTCCTCTTTGAATGCCGGTTTGGTTCGTAAGTTCGGTGTATAGCTTCAGTTGGTTTATATTTGTTCCATGTCTGTTTTTGTTTGTTTATTTTATTCTTCTTCCAACTTGAGTCCTAAGTGTAACTAATTTAGGTTTTAACGAGGTGATCCTAGTTGTAGAAACACTTTTGGGAAGGCAGGCTTTGGTTACAGGCTCTTACTGATTTTGTTTTAATTCTACATCTTGTTTTGCTATATTGAAATCTCCCCACA